CGTGTCCTTAATGAATCCCACCACATTCACTATAAGATTATTCCCCAAACACAATCTCCTCCTTATTAAGTGTCACCCTCCTCAATCTCTTCAGTGTGGTGTTTTCCTTCCTTGCTTCCTTTTCTTCATCCTCTGTTCTTTCAGTCTTCCACTCCCTCCCCACAGTCCTCAAGAACTAAAACCCTGGAAACAATCATTTCTCTTTGCCACTTTTGAGATGCAGTGGCACATTTTGCCATTCTTGATAAGATCTCTGTTGAAAGACAGACCCATGAACCCTTGGCCTTTCAAATGTCCCCTCCAACCTGTATTCCGTACGGAGCACAGTTAACATTTGCTGATTTAAATCCTAATCCTGTTTGGGATTTCAAGAATGTATAGCATTCCCCCCAAAGACCCATAGATCTGCCTTAGATTGGTCAGGCTATTAGTTGAGAGTGTTTTTCTTTGTGCATAATTTTGCAGTGTAGAAGTTTTCAGAGTAAAATAAAATGTTTGAATGCGAGAGAGCAAAGCACGTTTATGTGAACTGAGCACAGGTTTGCAAACTCAAGTCTTTAAAGGAAAAATTGAATTCTAGCTTCCGTTTGTTGCTTTGGGAACCCAGTGCTGGAGGCAACCATCTGGCTAGAGAGAGACTTCACTCGTGACACAGGCGTTGTGAAAGAGCCCGCTGGATGCATCTCTAGTGACGACATTTCTCAGCCAGACGGCCACCTCCATCTGCAGGATCTGAGGTGCCTATTGCAATAACATCTTAGACAAAATTGTATCTGAGTTTATTCCTGGAAACAACAAGTTTCCTACACTATGAGCAGTTGTGCTGCTTTGCTGAGTGGAAGGGCTGTGCTTTGCTGAGTGGAAGGGCTGTACTTTACCTGTAAGTATGTGACAAAAGTGTGTGTGTGTGTGTGTGTGTGTGTGTTGGCCATTCCCTCACCTAGCTCTGCGTTTTCTTTCAATGCTGTTGGCATTAGAGTCCCTTGATCCTTGCATGCCAGTAGTATCAAGGCTGGGACTGTGCCTTACCCTTCTGTCAGTGGGGAGATTCTTTGTATCCTCTTTTTCCTGTCTTGCAGCCACGCAGGGCTGAGCACCATGAAGCACAAAGAAAACTCTAGAGGGGAAAAATCTGAGTCCTCATGCTGCTAACTCTGACTTGTGCCAGTAGTCAGTGTCTGGAGTATTTACTATGCAGATTGATGTCCATAATTCTGTTAGAAAATCGGTCCATATTGTCTGTTGTGTATCTGTTGTAGGTTGTGCCTGCCCTGTAGTGCCCCCTGCTGAATTAGTGTGGTGCTGCATGTACTCCATGTCTCAGTTTCCCTCCTCAGGAAGTGCGTAACTCTACTTCAGGCACTCTTGATGCTTGACTTAATAATATTCTCCTTGGGGCTTGTTTATTACGAAACCTCATACAAAAGGTTCCATAACCAAAAGTCCCAAATAAAGGCTTTCTGGAGCCTGCCCTGTAACCTCTGTTCCCAATCACTTCAGGGTTATCTTCGCAGTCGTTATGGCTGTCTTTATGGCAGGAGCCCAGCCCTCCTCTTGAAACTTGGGTAGTTCAAGCAGTTCTTGTCCCTCTCCCTTACCAGGAGTCCCCAGCTCTCCTCCTGGAGCTGGGTTCCAATTTACCTCTATTCCTGTGTCTTCCCCTTACAGCAGGAGCTCCTGCCCACCTCCTGCAGCTGGGTAATTGAAGCAGTTGTTATCCCTCAGCTGGCTCCACTCAGTCCTCAGGCTGGTGACTCAGGACACCTGAGTTGGGGTTGGTCCTGCTTTGAGCAGGGGGTTGGACTAGATGACCTCTTGAGGTCTCTTCCAACCCTGATATTCTATGATTCTATGACACTGCAGGAGCCTTCTCTCACTCCCTTCAGTGTCTGCAGGCATCTGCCCTGCGTGAAGGAGGAGGCAGCATTTACACTTGTCCCCTTGTCCCAACTCATCGCCAGTTGGGAGAGAGGGGAACCTTGCCCCAGGCCTTTAAAGAAGCAATACCAGGGTTTCCTTTCAAACCCTGCTTGCTCCCGGGACTGTTTCCTCTCTCCCAGTATCTACCAGGTCCTTGTATCTATAATCAGACCGTACAACACTTAAAGAGCCAGACCAGGAGGCAGGCTGGCCTGACCTGCAGGCAGTACTTCCCTTAAGGGGCAGATTATGTTCCAGACATGACACTGTGACAAGGTAAAGTAGGATGATTATATATTATAAAGCAACATTTCCAGAAGGCTGATTCGACTTGGGCATTGGTGGTGGTGGTAAATATTGTAGCCAACAAACTCTTTGTGAGTTTTTGTTACTCACAATTTTTTTTGTAATGGTTCATTTTTATAATAGCAATAAGATACATCCAGGCAATGTAATACTGCCCTATATCTGTATGGTAGAGTGGCTGAAGACACAAGGTCTTATGTCTCCCAAAGTCTCCTGTGATACAAGGAAATATGGCAACACCCTGGAATGTCTTAATAATAATTTCTTTATCCTTCTGTAGACCCTTTCACTGAATGCTTTGCAAGCATTAATTAAATGTCAGACCTCGGCTGCAAAGAAAGAATCATTACACCCATTTGAGGAAATCGCTTAGGCACACGCTTAACTATAAGCATGCACTTACGTACCCGCCTTGATTTCCTGAATCAGGGTCTTACAGAGGAGTAAACTGAGACTCCGAGAAGCAAGATAAGTGTATATTTTTTTCATGTAGGTGTTGAAGTACAGCAAAACCTGCAGCAAGTCATTAGTCTAAGGGCTTATCCCAGCATTGTTTTTTCAAGCAAATTTCATGCATGGTGTGAAGGCTCCTAAATTCAGCTTGCGTTGTGGCCTTGAAATGTGATAGAAAATAAAATTGAAGATTGCCTTTAAACCACGGTAGGAATCTGTGCAATAAGTGGTGCTTCTCTGCACCCTGGTTAAGAGTCTACTGTTGTGATGTGGTGTTTGGCATATGCTAGTGGGGGACGATGACTCTCTGCATTAGATAATGGATGATGCTTTTGATGCGAATAGAAAATAGAGGGTGGGGTTTATTAGGTTGTCAGACTTGAAGTCCCTGTTTGACACTGTGCAAAGTAACATCATCCTCTTGAATTCTATTCCCTGGAAAGGTGTTTTATATAGTTTATCTGTGGCGTAAATACAGTTTTTTAAAAGAAGTGTTGGGGAGCCCAGAGAGGGAGAGAGAAGGAAATGTACACTCTTCTGTCTGCCAAGAAGCAAATGCAATACTAACTAGAGATGGCAATGGGAACAGAGTAAGTACATTAAACTCTTCCTGGACTTCCTGATGTTATATTAGTGAGGGGCTTTTCTCTCCACTCCACCTCAGTCACTAATGTAATTATCTGGCAAACAGCATATGTGAAACCAAAGACATTAACTTGTCAATAAGCCAGTAAATCATTATAACGAAACCCAAACTAGCAATGCTGTTTTAAAATTGCAGCTTGCTCGCCCATCAGTGTGTAAATTTTAAAGGGACGTGCATTCATCGGATGAGATTGAACCTATCCTTAGCCCATGAAAAAGAAAAGTTTTCATTTTGTTTGATAGCTGCTGTTAGAGCAGTAATGCCTCCCGTTTGCTTAGATTCACTAAGGTGTGAACAGTTTCCCCATAAAGATGCTTAAGAGCCTCATGTGTCTTCCTGAGTTGGCATGATGCGATACCATGGGTCTGGCATAAAAACTAAGGCTGAAGTATAATTACAGGGGTAATAGAAACATTATTTATGATTGTGTCACAATAACCCAACCTCTCCCTGCTTGATTTAAGATGTGCAGCAATCTTTACCTTTAGATGACCTTGCATTTATCTAAGTATATATCATCCCCGCTATTAATTTTAGTACATTGCCAAATCCGTTAATCCTGGATCATGCTCTAACAGTGCCCTGCTGCATCTGTTGAGATTAACTCTTGGACTGAACTCACTTATTTATACAAAATCATGAAAACTTTGTATGGAAGGCAAGGAAGCAGATTTAAAGTGGGTCAGAGCAAGGCATAAGGGGTTGCTTGTGACCCTGGAAGAATGATCTCTTGAGAAGCTGGGAAGAAAAGGTGACTCAGTTACAGAATATAAGTCTTTAGAACTGGTACCAGCAAAATGAATTCAGGAACTTGTCGATACAAGTGCAGCTAAAAATTCTCTCCTTTAAATGGCAGTTAGTAACGTTTGTTGTTAACCTGGCAAGATGGAGATGTCCTGAGCATGTGCCATGTTTTCTCTGGAAAGAAACAGCTGTGTGGAGTGTGTTCTGAGATGTCTAGAAGCAGTGATATAACTATCTTGGTGTTTGCTGTAGAGACTCTGAAAGTAAACAGTGCTGCATTGTTCCTTCCCTAATGTGCGCCCTGAGCTGGAAGCTGCATTGTTTCTGTAACAGGGCATTGTGAAAGCAACTGCGAGAGAAAAATGCACAAATATATTAGTCTGCATTTAAATTCATTTTAAGAAAAGCAATAAAAATAGAAGATATCTGTGAGTGTAATATATCAGCAGTGGAAAAGACATCAGTGTTGCTAACATTTTGAATTCAGCTGAGTGATGTATCCTTTCATAGTACGCACAGTGTTTGAAATTAACCCCGGTGTAGACTAGAAAACGGCTTTGCACCCCTCAAATTTCACTTGAGCCTGCAAGCCATCTCATCTGTATGCCCGAATGCATAGTTTGTTGCAAGCTGAAATATTTATGTTCTGTGGAAAAAGCTTTCAGATTTATAACAAAGTTTAGTGTATTGCACAACACTAATTACTTGGCTCATAGACTTTCTGGTTACATCATTTTTGAAAAATCATAGTTATACTAATCCATGTGTACGTTTCATACAGTTGTGGAGTAGTATACAAACAGGCTTAAAAGAGAAAAGTTAACTAACACATGGCTTCTCACACACAGTAATTGGCAGTATACACAGCTTTAACTATACTATCTTAAATATTTTGCCTTCATATCCTGTTTCTGTTTTTCTTGTCGTACAGGTGGGATTCTTTCCGAGCGAGTGTGTTGAGTTAATTAACGACAAAGTTCCTCAATCTATGACCAACTCTGTGCCAAAACCAGGTATGCGTGTGCGCAGTTATTCAAAACATTTTATGGAAGGTCCTCTCTTCCATGCTTCACTTTTTATCGCTTCTTTTACACTTCTCATGATCTGTGTTTCACTGCATCACCCATATGTTACACTGTGTTGGACGTCTTGCATTCTCTTTGTTTCGTTAGCTAATATCAATGTGCATTTCATGTGTGTTTTGAAATATTTAGACTTCCAAGGTTTTGGGGTCCCTTCCACAACCTCTGAGTCCGCTCCCTTCACCAATCCTGCTTTTGATGCTTTTGTCAGTGTGTAGTACTTTTTTTTTTTTTTTTTTTTTTTTTTTTGGGTATGGAATGTAGGGATGAGCCAAAAACTGTTATGTCCACTTTGATACAATGGGGGTGATAGATACAGTGGGACCTGGGGGTGGAGTAAGATCTTGTCTACACAGGGACACTCAGCAAAACTTGACTTTTAAAGTGGATTAGTTAAACCTCATTAAATCCATGTATGGGCACTCTTATTTAGAATTAAAGTGCCCTTAATTTGGTTTAGCTTAATTCACTTAAATTAAATTAAACAGAATTGAGGCCACTTTCACATTCTGAATAAAATCATCTACACAGCAATTTAATGCGGTTTAACTAATCCACTTTAAATTCACAGTGTTAGTTAATTTGGATTCATTTTCCTGATAGCCCCTATATAGACAAGCCCTTGGATACAATAGGACTCAGATCCTAATCACTCCTGATTCTGGATCTGCAAATCCAAAGCCCAAACCCACCTTTCTCATCCCACTTCTTTTCTGGATAGCCAGGTGTTGTATAAAGTGCAGAACCATTATTGCGGGAATGCATTGATCAAGTAAAAATTAAATGGAGAAAAAGATGTTAGACCTGATTCTGCTCTCAGTTCCACTAGTCTAGTTCAGGGCTAACTCCACTGACTGGTGCTTGTGCATGCACAATCAGACCCCATGTATTTCTGCACATCCTAATGATAATTGTTCTTTGCTCTGTTTTCTTTAAAAATCCTGCTTTAAAAAGTCACCCTAACTGCTGTCTCTGTGTCAAGGGGGAAACATCTTGAAATCACTGATCTGACTGCGTTAAAATGATGCAGCACAGCAGCAAGCAATCCCTCTAGGATAATTGAGTGATAGGGAATGAAGGGTTTCCCCCTTTTCTGGGGAATGCCTGGGAGAACACCCACCTTAATGATGCGTTTTATCTGCCAAGAGTGCCAATCTGACGACACTTTTTAAAAAAATTGTGGTTCCAGGGATTGAGTGAAATTCCTTTTGGCAAATTCTGTTTTAATGCTCAGGGCTTGTGGCTCACCAATAGAGTCATGAACGCTAAGGTATCTATGCAGTGCATCAATCTGCATGCTTTGAATGGCTGAACATTCGAAAAGAATATTTTCCACTGTTGTTCCAGTCCCCCTGCCCTGCCTTCGTCCTCTCCAGGAACGTGGGAATGCACTTGTGTTAGCTTCTCTGTCGCACAGCTCATTAGCAAGTCAAGTCATTGCAGCAGGTGTGTGCTTAGTAAATCCAGTATGCTTTCTCAAAGCTTGAACTTGATCTGTAAGTACTGCAGTCATTCACTTCTCCAGCCGTGTTTTTATCAGTCCGAACATGTAGACAAAGGTAACTTTAGACCCTAATATAAGCTGGGCCGAGGAAGACAATCACAGTCACTAGTGTTTATCATTAAATATGGCTCAGGCAATTAAATTAAATGTCATGAATCACTGTTGAGTAGTTTCTTACTAAGCCTTAATGAGAGAGAACGAAGCAGCATAGATTAATATATCCTATTCGGCTTTAACAGCACACTAGAGAGGTGTGTTTTTTTCACAATCAAAGAAAACATTTGTTTTAGATTCAGTATAAAAAGCGCAAGCTCTATTGCAGTTAGTACATGAAAGGATTATTAGGTCTCAGTGTTAACCTTCCTTAATAGTTGCCCCATAAATACCGTAGGCCCCAAGGATTCAGGATTTACTTAAGGCTACCAAGAAAAAAACCAAAGCCGTATCTTAAGCCTACATTCAACAGAACCTGCACATTAAAAATAGAATCTTGATTTACCATCTGTCCCATTGTAAGCAACCTGGTTTGTGAATGGAGAGAGGTATTTACATTTATAGTAGGCGGCACAGCAGCCTACATAGCTGGAGAATCAAAACATATTTTTAACCATGGTCAGTTTTTTAGGTTCTTCTAAGAAATGACCTAATATAGAAAAGCTGCTTAGATAGGACAGGCCAAACTAGTGCCTAAGTGCCATTGACTTTCAGTGAGACGCAGGCCCAGATTTTTAAAGATATTGAGGCATTGCTGTGCTCAGCGTCGTGACACCTAACTGATTTAGGAGGCTAAGGGCTTGTCTTCACTACCCGCCCGGATCGGCGGGTAGAAATCGATCTCTCGGGGATCGATTTATCGCGTCTTGTCGGGACACGATAATTGATCCCCGAATCGACGCGCATACTCCACCAGCCCAGGTAGGAGTAAGCGCCGTCGACGGGGGAGCCGCGGTGGTCGATTTGCCGCTGTCCTCACAGCGGGGTAAGTCAGATCAGATACGTCGAATTCAGCTACGCTATTCCCGTAGCTGAATTTGCGTATCTGAAATTGATTCCGCCCCCTCTCCCCCCTGTAGTGTAGACGTAGCCTAAGCCTCATTTTCAAAAGGTACCTATTGACAATCGTTGGTATTTTGGCTCCTATGTGTCTAAGTCCCTTTTGAAAATGAGATTTAGGCTTCTAAATCAGTTAGGTGTTGCAATACTGAGTGCAGCAACCCCTAAATACCTTAAAAAATCTGGGCCTTAGGCTCCTAAGTAGCCAAGTCCCTTTTGAAAATTTGATTTAGTCTCCTAAATCACTTAAATGCTTTTGAAAATTTACTCTCTAGCCTTATATCCAGCATCACAAAGAAATATATCAGAGTCCCAGTTCAGTCAGCACTTCTGCACATGCTTAACTGCCTTGTTGAAAAGGGATTGATTTAAGAATGTGCTTAGGTGCTTTGCTAAAGTGGTCCCCAAATTAGCACCTGCTCAGCACCTCCTGGAAATCTCAGCTGAAAAGACAAGGCATGGAGACTGAACTATACATTCAGTTTTAGAAGCGGTCCCTCCACAACATGGTTAAAGTTGTGTTGGTGGGACAGTGTGGAGAAATCTGTATTTCCCCTACCTGTGTTGTGTGTGTTCTGTGAATATAATGCGTGACTCAGGCTTCCAGAGCAGTTTCTGAACACATTAAAATTCACATCAGATATCTTTTTAATTATCTATATTTTAGTGTTACCAGGGAACAGCGAGATGCTTTTCCAACAGGAATTGGTTGGGGCCATTGTCCTTACTTTACCGCAGCAGGGTATTCCAACCAGACTCAACCTAAGGTTTTAGATTTGGACTCAGTAAGGCATATTTAGCAAAATGTGACCTTTATTTCCTTAATCAGAATGTTGCGTGTGAAACATTCAGGATGTTTTGTATCTACAGCATTGAGTTGTTTGCCATGAAGGAATTTACAAACATAGAACTGATTGTGTTGTTTAATTGCTCATAGATTTTGCTGAATTAAGTAATCTAATGAAAAGCAGATGTAAAGCAAAGAATTTCCTGCCCTGCTATTTATTATTATTCATAATGACTGAGATCTTGATTTGCAGAAGTGATGGGAGTAACACTTTAATAGACCCATAAAATACTAGGTTGGGCTTAAATGAAGTACAATTAATGAGTGAGATTCAAATGAAAATGAGATGTAGGAGGCTAAAGAGGAGAGGTCGGACTAGGTACAGGCTGCATTTAGGAATAATGTTTCTTTAATTATAGAGGTGTTTGCTAACACCAGAGATGTGAGCTGAATAACTGTCTAAAGAATAACAGGAAACCTGGATTTAAGTGAAAATTGTATCCATGTTATCCAGTTATCCTGATATTCAAAGGCCTAAGAAAAGAAAAAATGCTTCTTGCCATGAGTTTGCTTTAAGATATATTTGACAGTAAAGCTTGTAATTAAAACTAGCATTTCTGAACATACTGATGGCATCATTTGTGAAATGAAAGCCCAGTGTAACACTTTAAATCCTTTTCAATTCTGCTTTAATACAGAATTCGTAGTTGTGTGTAGCTGTATGTGTAGACCTATATCTTATTAATTCAAAATAAACAGCCCAATTTATGATAGTTAAAGTGGATTCCTATATTGCTTGGAATGAGTTGGCTCTTTATAACCATGATCTTTATCACCTACATCAGGCTTATAAATACCAAGCTTTAATTTCAAGTGTATTTCAGTATTTATTCTGCAAACATAGCGTCTCGAGTCATGATCCAGTGAGACCTCACAAGCTTATCTGGAGAAGGCTCAATCAGTACCTCCATGGGGCAGTACATAGAAAAGCTAGGTGCTTCAGGAATCGGTGAGAGCTATTCTTTGAGTAGATTTTTCCCTTTTGAATTTGCATTGACCAGTGCCCCAGATTATTTCTAGTGAGCCCAATACCACAGAAGTAGAACTGGGGAAATAATGGATTTTTTGGTTCATTGGCAATTCTGAAAAATCAAAAACATTCCTTTATGGGCAAACTAATAATGGAATTTTTTGAAAATTTCAGCTAGCCAAAAGTCGGAAAATATTTCAAGTAGGATTAAACTAGACACAAATTTACTAATAATTTTGGGTCAACTGAAACTTCATTTTTCAGCGACTAAACTATTTGCCAAAATATTTTGCCTAGCTCTGTGCAAGGCACCTTCCTCTTTCAGTTGAGGCCCACAACCGATGACGTGTCTCTGTTTATTAAAAACTTCGTAGTACATAGAGTGTTAGCACTGGCCAAATTCCCATTTGTTTGAGTAACACTAATCCACCTTCTTCAATTCCATTTCATTTGGCAGTGGAATTCTAATCTTCACTTCCTGTCCCAAATGATTATGTAGTGTTGGTGTGCACTGTTTGACAACGAGTATGTCCCACCCCAGAAGTGACTGAACTTGA